TCCTGAAATGGTAAAGGTCACCGATGAGCAAGTGGAATAGCTATCATTGAAGTCAAGGATAAGGGAGGCCCATGACCGTCAGAAGAGTTATGCAGATGTGTGCCGAAAGGATTTATCATTTAAGGTATAAGATGAAGTGTACCTGAAGTTGAGAGCCTTTAGAGGGTATGATAGGCACCGGAAGCTGAAGAAGCTTAAGCCAAGATATATGGGTCCATACCCAGTAGTCGAAAGGATTGGAGAAGTAGCATATCAATTGCAGTTGCTTCAAGAGTTGTCAGAAATTCATGATATGTTCCACATTTCGCTAGTTAGGAAGGTAGTAAGAGAAACTGGAATTCATTTTATCTGCCCCGCCAGCTGACCTGGAAGGAAATTTGTCAGTTCTGAGTAAGCCGTCTGAGATTTGGAGTTTGGAGAGAGTAAGGTTGATGGTAAGAAGACCAAGATGGTAAAAGTCAGATGGAAGAGAGTTGGCATTCGCGAGGAAACGTGCGAGCCAGAGGAGCAAATGAAAAATGAGTACCCTGAACTCTTTCCGACCGGAATGGAAACCGATGAGGAGGGAGTGAATTCGGGGACGAATTCTTTTCAACAGGGGGAGAATTGTAATATCTCAGCCTATCCAAAGGCCAAACTGGAGGTCTATTCCCCAAAATCTATCCCATTAAAAGTGAAAATCCTAGGGAAAGAGCCTCATTCTCTGCAAATTAGCCCCCAGCCGCAGAAAAAGAGAGAGAGCTCGTCCGAGCCTTCGTCCAAGCCCTTGCCTTCTTGTCGTCTTCTTAATCCAGATCTGCAAATTTTCCAAGATGAGGAGTAGATCTAGGCTTTCAATTCCTTATTTGTTTGTTTTTAGTGTATTGAGTCTAGGATTGTACAAGTATATTGATTGATGCACCTAGGGAGGTCATGAAAGAGTCAAAATGGACAAGGAAATCATTATATGAAGCACCAACATAATTGTTTGTCCATCCAGTTGATTGCTTAATAATTGTAAGTAGCTAGAGATAGGTGATCGACTGACACAGTGGTTCAATTATTGATTGTTGGGATTCATACCTGGAAGAAAGGATGATCCACATCGCTTGGTGGTTAAGACGAACCACGTTGAATGTTTTTGTGACCAAAAAGAGCATGCTATGCCTCGTTAGCATGATGAATAGTTTACCATGCCTCGTTAGCATGATGATTTGTGTGTTTGCTTTGCTTGTGTGCTTTTAGAGCAACTGTTTGTTGTTTGTTTAGTTTAGGCTTGATATATTGAATATAAATGGATAATGTACTAGAGTGTAGATTTATTTTCTCACTGAAAATAAATCTGGAAAAATTACTCACCCCCTCATTCTCTATTTTTCAGGTGAGTATGAAGATTATTACTTTGATGGTTACAAGGAAGAGTAGTCCGAAGTGGTCTGCTTTTCGGGATGTATCTTTTTTTTTTTCAATTTCAGTATTTTTTTTTAAAAGATTTCTTCGCAATTTGCTTCAGTTTTATTTGTAAGAATAATTTATGAATTTAATTGCAAAACTTGATTTTATTAAATGAATAAGAGTGTTATTCAGAAATGTGTTAATTAGTCTAATAACTATAGTAAATCGGTTAGAACTGAAGGTGAATAGTCCGATTCGTCTGGTAGATGTCGGGGGTTCACAGAGTGGTAGCAGAGCCTAGATTCGAGTTCGAGTTAGAAGAAAAGTAATTTTAGGAAAATAGTTTTTTATTAAAAAAAAAAAATTGTGGTGAGATTTTCTTAAAAGTTGATTTTTATTTTGTTATGGTTGATTTTTAAAAGTTGACTTTTAGGATAAAACCACCACCTAGAATACTTTTTTCGTTATAGTTGATTTTTATTTTGCAGGAAAATCAGTCTTTACGGATTCGGACTGACTTGTTTACTGAATCTTCTTGTTATGTCATTTTCAGATGCCTCCGAAAGCAAAAAATGTTCAAGCCCATGCTGCAATTCCGCCAATGAATGAGGAAGAGGTCGATTCCCCTAGGGGAAATGTGAATGAGAGCGGAAATAATATGCAAGTTCTAATGGATGAAAACCAGAATAGAGCTAATCCTGCTTAGGTGACAGCTGAAGCTCATGCTGCCTTGTTGGAAGAGCTGCATCATTACCAGGAGAGGTTTGGTAACTTACAAAATGAACCTGTCCCATTAGTGAATGTCTAACAGCAGAATATGCCACCTCCTACGCCAGTGTATTAGCAGTTTATACCATCTCTGGTAAATGCTCAGCATTAACTTGTAAATGCTCAGCATCAATTTGTACCACCTGTGAATGCACAACCGCCGATTCATCATCAGCAGTTTGTGCCCTATCAATTATTTTGGCTCATATCATTGAATCAAAATCAAACTACCACTAAAAGTTTAAGTAAATTCCTAGGTAACACGTTCTTACGCTGCGTTATTTGACCACTTCTATAATGCATATCTCCGCTCCTATTCAGTCCAATCCACTTCCATATGATAACAACACAATAAATTTTATTTTATGAAAATATGGATACTAGACCAAAAACAACAAATATATACATTTTTATCATTTAATGATGTAACATATATATGTCAATTATTATCCTAATACGTAAAAAACTTATGGTTAATTGCTATACTAATACTGAACCCAGAACAAAATTATATCATACCAAACATAAACTGATATAAAGAAATGTATTAATGTATTTTGAAAATTTTATGATATCTTTCTTTAAAAAAAAAAAAAAAATTTATGATTTCTAATACAAACACTTCCACCAATTGTTCAGCGCCTGCGCCCATCGAATATGTTGAATATCAATAGAGTAGCAAATTTAGATCAGCATTATATAATTCGTACACAAGAAAAAAAGAAGACCATTATATAATTAGAAAAATACTAAATAATCTAAAATTTTATTTAACCATGTTTCTATTATGCATAAAAATCTAAAACTATTAATTACATTATGTTAGCAAATTCTAATAATTTTTTTCTTTCTAAAATACCTCATGTCCACGACTCACCTCGTTATCCTCTCTATCACATTGGTCAGTTTTTAAAATCCAACACAATTTAAAAAATTTCCTTACCCACATCTGTAAAACTAAATGACTACATAAATTTATTGTTTGTGGATACGTGTGCATTAAATAATATTTTAAGGACCATTATAAATTTTATTGCCTCTTATCTTTGTGTCATTACAAAAAAGTGTGTATTACATCACTTAAATTTTATTATAAAAATAAATGATAATATTTTAAATTATTTGCTAACAATTGATAGTGAAATATGTAATTTAACATCAATTATGTAACTGATTTTACCATTAGTTAATTTAACATCGATTTTAATAATAAATAATTTAAATTTTTATTAATTTATATTACTTTATAAAAAGTGATAGTAAAATATGAATGCACATCATTTAGATAACTTATGTAACTACATTTTTGTAAGGTAATATCATTTAGAAAATAACACAAATATTACATCAATCAAAAACTGATGCAAATAAATTTTTAATTATTTTTGATTTTTGTCCCATATCGACAACTAAGGAAGCAGTGAGAATTTTGGTTTCTTATAAATAACTATAGTTTTTCTTCAGACTCTAAAAATGAATTATTGATGTGTTATCATATGTAAAATCAATATTAATTATATTAAAATAATTTATCAAAGTTAGTACTAATTTTTAATTATTATATATATTTTTAAGTTGATGAAAATATTATATATATATATTTTATTTACAACCAACACAACTTAACATCGATAACAATAACTGATACAAATATATACATCATTTGCTTAATTGATGCAAATATTTATATCACTTCCTTAAACTGATGCATATATTTACATCAATTTCTTAACTGATGTAAAATATTTGCAGAACTGATGTAAGTTTTGCATCACCACTTTCAGAGTCACTTATATAAGTTACATCACCTATAACTAATGCAAATATAGAAAATACACAGTATAAAACACATCTTTTATGAAGTGTATCCAAATAGCGATTTTTTATCTTATACTATTCTGTTTTTGGATAGCTACTATTCTTGTTGTCGAACACGTTTATATATTTCTATTTGGTTTAAAATTTCAAAACTTTAAATTAAAATTTAGAAATTTTAAATTTAAATTTAGATTAGTTTGGATCTCCTATAATATAGATTTGATTAATCACTAAAAACAAACAATAATAATTATTATTATCTTTACAAAAAAAATTGACCAAATATTAATTTAGGTTTGATTAAATATTAAAATTAAATAATATTTTGATAATAATGGAGATGAGAAAGATATATTATTAAATATTTTATTATAATTAATATTTTTGACTTTAAATATTAGAAAATAGTGAATATTTATGTTAAACAGTTATATCAACGGACAGGATAAAATTATGTTTTTACAACGCAGTTCGTTTTGGATTGATATGAATGTATGGATTAAAAATAATTTTTATAATCATAATCATATTTAATATTAGAAAATATGAAAAATTTATAAAAATAAATTATCTCTAAATACAAAAATAATTCTTTGTCATTTATTAGAAAATTATAACTATAAAACAAATGATATCTAAATACAAAAAAAAATGATGAACAACAAAACAATTTAGAGTCTAGTTTTGCTTTAAATTATAAGTATTTGCTTTAAATTGGAGACAAGATTTAGAGAGAAATTAGGGAAATTGCAATAATGTAAAACTGAATTGAGTAAATGGCAATAAGACAATATTTTTTTTGAAATATTTTGATTTTGACCTTTAATTCATTTAATTATTAGGAAAAGTGTAATTTTTCTTTACAACTTTTTGTCATTTAATGCAAATACTCATTCAATTAGTATCATAATTTTATTTGTTAACTTACTTTTTTGCATGACATATATATAAGTAATTCAACTCAATTATCTATAAACCTTAGTGAAAAAAACTTCTAAACATATTTAAAACTCTATATACTTTAAGTCATGATCAATTGGATGGTGGCAAGTTTTGTGCTCAGCATTCTAAATATAGCGGCGATAGTCACCGGAGAAGAGTTTTCCAATATTCATGATACTGAAATAGATCGATTCTTGAAGAAAATTAACAAACCCGCTCTTAAATCCATCAAGGTTGGCTAATTTTAGTTTTTTTACACAATACTAAGTACACATCTTTTTAATTTTCATTATGTTCTAATACCTATTGGCTGACGATTTGTAATCCATGTGTAGAGTCCAAATGGAGATATAATTTGTGTTCATATGAAAAATCATCCAATTTATGATCATCCTTTATTCAAAAATCATACTATTCAGGTTTGGTTTTCTATTTCCTATTTTAATTTGTTATTGTTATTATACTCTTTTGAACATAAAATCTATATTTTTTTGTTTATAGTTTCACTAAATCCAAAAAAAAAATAATAATAATATTTATGATAGATCTAAAGTTTAGGATATATTTTTCAAAATTAGCACTCAACTACAATTCAGATTAGTAAAACAAGACTGTTATATACGAATGGAATAATTATGTTTTTGTAGTGATTAGTCTGCTATATTATTTTGTATTATATATTGTTGTGTTGTAGATGAAACCAAGTTCTTATTTTATTTTATTTTTTTTGTCGACTACCCATCTACTAAGTCACGTTTTAATCGGTAGGATGATGATTTCGGAAAGTCACCTCCACCGATTCTGTCTGACTTATATGGGAGAATATGATACCACGTACTCGAGCTTCTTTAGCGAGAGAATCAGCTCAGACGTTTAAAGCTCGAGGTATATGAGTGATGTTAAAAGCAGAAAATGTCTCTCGAAAATGTTGGAAGGCGTTTAATTCTGAAGTGAAAGCCGGCCAATCGATCGGATTCTCAATCATTTCAATTAAATTCAAACAATCTGTCTCAATTTGTATCGTTAAAATGTGTTTATCTTTTAGGCATAGCATAGCCCAAAGAAGAGCATCCATCTCCGCATATAATGATGAGATACTTTTGCGGCATCCTTGGAGTCCAAAAACCTCTTGTCCCATAATGTCCTTATAGCTAGAAAGATGGAATAATGAATCTTCAAAGGCGTTGAAGAAGAGTATAGTGACTCAAATGTGGACAATATATGGAGAATGCCCAAATAATAGTATTCCGATCAGAAGAACGAAAAAAGAAGATATTTTACGAACAGGATCATTAGAAAAATATCTGAAAAAATATCCCAACAACATTCTTCGACTTAATCAAGCTAATCCTATTGATAACTACACACATGAGGTGCATTCAAATATCATTTAATAAGCATTAAAACCATCATTTCTTCTTATTAATAAAGGTATATATGTGCATTTTATAATCTTATGTGTGTTTGAACATATACAGTATGCCATACTTAGATTAAATGGTAACTTTCATGGAGCCCAAGCGGTTATAAATGTGTGGAAGCCTTATCTACAAACTCCAAGAGAATTTAGCCTAACACAAACCTGGCTTCTGGCGGGCCCTTATGGTGAAACTAACACCATAGAATTTGGTTGGCAGGTTCTTATTTTTTTTTTCCTGTAGTTGCATTTTCATAAATGATTATATTTTGATATTCTTTTATTCTTATGTTTCTCATTGATATTAATTAGGCATACCCACAACGTTATGGTGATGACAATCCTAGATTGTTTATTTATTGGACTGTGAGTTAATGTTTATGGTATCATTTTTAAATATTTTTTGCTCTATTCTATAAAATATGTATTTACATATAATGATTTTTTGTATATGTTTCTTTACATGAAAACAGGCGGATATGTACAACCAAACAGGCTGCTATAACCTTGAGTGCCCAGGTTTTGTTCCTGTCAACCGAGCATTTGCCTTAGGGGAACCAGTTACTCCTGTTTCTACCATGAATGGACAACAGTATCATATTCCAATGGCTGTATGGAAGGTCAATATAATCTAGACTTTTTATCGTTTAACTTCAACAAATATACTCTTTTATGGTATTTTAAAATTGAGACTTAAAAATGCTATATTATTATAGGATCCCCGCTCAGGAAACTGGTGGTTGAAAGTCGATAACCATATATTTGTTGGGTATTGGCCTTCTACTTTGTTCAATCATCTACGAAATGGTGTTACCGAAATTCAGTGGGGAGGCGAAATAATAAATCTTAAAGAAAATTCACAACACACAACGACAACAATGGGGAGTGGCCATTTTGCAAGGGAGGGATATGGAAGAGCTAGTTATTTTAGAAATCTTCAAATATTTGATGAAAATGGTATTTGGAAACCAATTAATGGAGGTTATCCCCACATGACAAATAAGAACTGTTACGATATAAAAACTGGCTATGAGAAGATTATCTGGGGGAATTACTTTTATTATGGTGGTCCTGGTCGAAATCAGTTATGTATATGATTAGAAACATATTGTAATTAAGCAAAAAAAAATAACAATATAGTAGATGCAACTATGACGTCTGTAAGTCATCTATATCATTGTCATATAGTATCAATGATTCAGTGTGATGGTGCAAATAAATTTTAAATCCGGAAAAAAAAAAAATTAAAAGATGCTTTCAATCTTAGGATCGTATATAATTCAATCAAAAATCATCAAAGAAGTTTAAAAGAGTCAACTGGATAACGTGTTTCAATTGATTTTTCTTTTATATAAGTTTTTGATAAAGTATCACTCTACTCCTCCATATACTTATAGCCCCTTATGTATTAATTGAGAAGCATTGTTAACAATACATAGTCTTGACATATAATTTACAACAATACCATGATGATGTATGACCACCATAGAGCCTCTTAGGACATTTTTGAAAAGAATATTCATTATATTTCTATTAAGTATCTCATATAAATTAATTGAAAAGGATTGATAAAAAAACAACCTTGAATTATTTTAGGAATAACAATTATGTTAAGCCGACATGTCATCACCATAGTAATTTCCAGAATAATATAAAAATAGATTCATTTTATTAATACAATCAATGCCATTCATATTAATTTGATTAGGAAATCAAATATATCTTATTAAACTATTCATAAAATTGATTGATAATAGAAAAAAGCTTTCTCTTTACTTAATTGGCAGCAGAACAAAAATGATAAATAATTTAGAAACATATTTATTTAGCCAATAAAATTGAATAAGGAAGATTTGGTTTATAATTATACCGTATTAACTGTTTTTAATTTTTTTGGCACTCAATCCCTATTCAATTATATAATATCAATTATTTTAAAATCATTATATCTCTCTTATTCTCATTGTTAAATTTTATATTTTTAAAATAAATTAAATTACAACATCAAACATATAATAAATTTATTTTTTTGTTTATGTGATGATTTGTATTTTTAAAACTTAAAAAATCACTAAAATTGTTATTTAATGAGATATATTAATCTTTCAGTTAAAATATTAAATATGCAATTACATTCATATTAAAAAAGATAAAATTGATAATAAAATCTTATATTAATCAGATTGTATATTTTTAACTGCATTACCAATAAAAATCATATTGTTACGCATAATACTATTAACATACATATTAAATCAATTAAATGATTTTAAATATATTAAATTATATTTAATAAAATAGTTTATAGATATTTTATCCTGTGCATGGCGTGGTTACTACCTAGTTAAACTAATATTTGTCAAAAGAAAACTTACCATAATCGACTATACTCTCTCTCTGCTCCAATTTTTTCTTCCAATAATATATATCATTAATTACTTTTTTTATTATATCTCTTCTCAATTTTGTATGATAAATGTTTTTAAAAATTCAAACCATACATCATCCATATAATTTAAAAATCATATAGATTGTTTCACATATGTTATGATTCAAAATTTCAAAAAGAAACATATATTAACTATTTTTATATATATGTATATAGATATATCTATACTATTATTTATGAAGTCAAAAATCTGATGTGTCACACTTACATCGATTTTATGTGTTAATTTATGCTTATATGTCGGGTGTTTATTTCTTTGTGTTGACAAGGCGTTTAGTTTAATTATCATTGGTTATTCATTAAACACTGATGATTTGAATGTATATGATGACATGTAATTTGATACGAGAAAAAATTAAACGCTTAATTGAATGAATTCGTTTTTATTTTATACTATATGCCATCGAATTTCATTAAACCCTTAATTGAATGAATTTGTTTTATACTATGAGCCAGCAAATACCATTGGATGAGTTTAAATCGTCTTTTTAAACCCGTGCAAAACCCTAATGTGTTCATAGACCTATATATACACACCTTTCGGATTCTCGGTTTTATTAGTTTTGGTGTTGGTGCACTTTAGGTATTGTCTCTTCGTATTTACCTCTTACGTTTATTTGTCAATCGAGTTTAATATATGTCTTGCTGTTCTTAATATAATTAGTCGTTGTATTTTGTGACATGAACCAATATAGATGCGCTTAGAGTTTATTTTGAACGTGTAGGCGGCTCTGAGTCTAGAGAAAATTACTCGGGGTGTGCATCCTTTCTGCTTTGTAGAGGTATACATATCTGTGTCATATAGCTTGTATGATTTTTCTTTTTTCTTTGTTCTGATTTTGTCTCTATGCTATTGTTTTTATTGCTTTTGTCATTTGTCTTAAACTAATGATTTATTTCTATGTTGATACTGATCTGATTAATAATATATCGTTTAAGCTCTTTGTTGATCGTTTTTACTGGAACGTCTACTATTTTTTTTTTTTTGTGTGTGCAGATGGATCTATTTATTTAGATATTTGCTCGGTTTACAGTGGCCGGCTTCATAAAGAAAATTTTGATCGTTTGTTATATATTCTATAAATGGGAACTGAAGGTTAATATATGTATGTGCTTTGCTAATAGTTTATTGGTTTAACTTAGCTTCATCATTAGCTTTTATTTATGTCTATGTAGCGGTTGGTAATGGTCGTGTCATTGACCCTCAGATTTTGACCCTCAGATTTTGCTGTATCATCTTCCTCCGCTGCAAATACTATTTTCAGACATCTAAGCGAGTTGGAAATGATAAAATTTTAGCTTGGTTCCAGTGTAATCGTGATCATCCTCTTGCCAGGTCATATCTGTATTGGCGAGTTTTCTTCATCTTCATATCGTCGAGCAACAAAGCATATCAAATGTCTCGGTGAGAGAATCAGCTTTTTTATAAAAAGAGAAGAGAAAGATAAAAGCAATGAAGAAAATGGGACAGAGTGGGAAGTTTTGGAAGTGGAAGAGAAGCCACAATCAATGGCTGCTTCTATTTAATAATGTTGAAATTCATTTTAGTATTATTATTTCATAAATAACTTGACTAACTTGGGACTAGATTATATTGATTAAGATTTTTAGTATAACCGCTGGGATTAACTGTTGCTATAAGGTACACACCATCGAGAAGAGCCCTCTAAGCTGTGGACATGAAGTGCTCCTTCTTGATTATTCAAGCCATCAAAGACGACTTTCACCACTCCTAGACGTAAGTGACCACTATATATCCTAGATATGCTATGAGCTTTGATGCAGATGGCTTGAAGATGAGAGTGCACCTCAGATTAATTCAACTTTTTGTTAATCATCTCCTGTATTGTGTCCCTGGCTTTGCAGAAAAATGTGTTCTCCCAAGAACTAATCTTCTGAAGCAAGATACTTCTGAAGTTGCACAACTTCAAGCTAAAGGAGGATACAGAGAGTTCTCATTCTTTTGGTTAGCATTTCTTCTCACGCACTCTTTCACAAGAAAAAAGCAATAGTGCAAACCGTTTTGGATGTTACAGCCAAACTGCCTGCTGGCTCCATTAAGGTAAATACGATCACATTTAGTTGAACCATGGTTTTTTTTTTTTGTTTCTCATATAAGAACACAAACATCTGGGAGAAAAAAACTCACAGATGACTTCATCTTTGAAAAAATAAAACTCTTATTCTTACTCATATTTCTGTGTTCCAAAACAACAAAGTTTGGAACGTTTTTTCTCTGTTTTGGGCGGGAAAATAGATGGCGATACAAGCACAGTGTAGTTACTAGGAGGGTACGGAGGTATTTGAAGAAGAAGAGATAGCTGATGTTATATGTACCTTCTACAACGACCTTTTCACCTCGCAAGGATCAGAGGACTGCTCCTCCACCATCAACAAAGCAATCCAACCATGTATCTCCGAAGAGGACAACCAGAGGCTCACGGCCATACCTACAAGAAACGAGGTTAGAAATGCATTATTCTCCATTCATCCAGACAAGGCACCTGGGCCAGATGGTTTCTCTGCCAGTTTCTTCCAGTCTAACTGGCAGGTGGTGGGTCCTAAGATAACCGAAGAGATACAACTGATATTCGAAAAAGGAGACTTCCCAAGTTCGATGAACGCCACTCATGTCAGGTTGATCCCAAAAGTCCAAAGCCCAAAAAACGCTTCGGATTACAGGCCAATCGCGCTCTGCAACGTCTTCTATAAAGTTCTCTCCAAAATCATGATGAAGAGACTCCAAAAGATCCTTCCTGGTATTATATCAGAGAACCATAGTGCATTCGTCCCTGGCAGGGCCATCTCCAACAATGTTATGATAACCCATGAAACTCTCCATTTCCTGAAACAATCAGAAGTCCAAGTCCATTACTCAACGATCGTGAAGACAGACATGAGCAAGGCATACGATAGATTAGAATGGAGTTTCATTAAAAAAGTCCTAAATAGAATGAGATTCCATGCAAACTGGATAAGGCTTCTTATGAAATATATATCATCAGTTTCCTACGCTTACCTTATCAATGGGGTGGCAAAAGGACACGTCATTCCGAAGCGAGGAGTCAGGCAGGGAGACTGATACGATCCTTCTAAGGATTTGCACTTGCTAGAATGGTTGAGGTTGATAGGACTCGGCCTGGATCAGTTGTTCGGAGAGATGCTAAGGCGTGAGAGGTTATCTCGAAGTTCCTTAGGCCCAACTCGCGAAAACGGATTGAGATCGAGACAGTGATTACACCGAGTTTGAGATCTCGCGGGTATAGGATGAACAGGCGTGAGACAAGTCTCAAAAATCCTGTTGTTCCTAAACTACTTTGAACGAAATCGGAAACAAGATGAAAGATAGAGGCTGCGTCGAATTCTATGGACTGAATTCGATAAACCAAAGAAACTTTCATCGCTAACCACCAAAGAAAGAAAACTCAAGAAGAACAAGAGAAAATCTCGGAAATATTTGATAAAAGTGAATGCCAAATACATAAGAGTCTGGCCCTTTATATAGGGGCGAAAAAGAAGTGCGAAAGACATATAAATTAAATGAAAACATTAAGACTAGTTGAATGACCACTCGGCTCCCTTGACTGATTTTTCGGTTCTTTCCCGCGAGTGATCCTTTGTCTCCCTTGTAACGGCTAGCTAACAAAC